TTTTTTGACTTTTTTTGTAATTGCCTTTTCATAATTGTTCGTGCGACTTTATGTTTCGGTCGTTGTTATTATTATTATTATTATTTTTTTTTTTTCGCAATTACACGCGTTGTTTCTTATTATTTAAGTAGGTTTCTATGACTAACTTATAAATTATTAACTAAAAAATAAAAAAAAAATCTCGGTATGTGAAGATAAAATTTTAAGATTTTTTTTTTTCATACAATATTCTTAGACACGAATTATTTATTTTCATTGTATGAAACAATTCAATATTATTCAATTGTAACACAATATATTAATTAGTTTATAGTAGTAAACCAATGTGACAAATGCTAAGGTCCCGTTACAGAACCATTCCGTCGAAGTTTCTAACTGCTAAATCATCATGTAACCGTCAAATATAGTTGATCCAACGGTTACGAACCCCGACGAAATAGTTCTGTAACGGTATTGTAGCATCTTCCAATTAACGTAGCCCGTGAAGGTTGGTTCCTTCCACTAAACACTTAATGCGTTGTTACTATTGTGATTTTGATTGAGATGTTGATTTCAGTTGAATCATAATTTTTATTTCTGGGTGCAATTTTGAATCATGATTTTTAACTATTACTAAAGATAATTATACTTCACCGATGACCTTATTATATTACTCGTATGATTATGACATATTACGTAACACTTACTCATGACCTTGACAGGACTTTACAAACCCAATTGTTTTTAATTATAGATTATATAATAACAATTACATGTTTCATATACTTTTTTTGACTGAATTTCTAGTAAGTAAATGTTATGTAATGAAATATGTTCATATATATTAATGGGAAATGCTAAGGTCTCGTTAGGGAATCATTCCGTCAAGATTTGTAATCGTAAGATCAACTATCTCTAACGGTTGCATTATGATCTAACGGTTATAAACCCGACTGATATGTATAGGTATGAGGAGAAAGAGCTGAAGTTGGGGAGGAAGAAGACAAATATAATGCTCATTGGGGATGGGAAGGGCAAAACAGTCATTACAGGTAGAAAAAACGTCCAGGAGAAAATGACGACATTCCA